GCGCAGACACAATCTTGAGAGAGCGGCGCGCTGAATTTTTAGAAGGAGGCCCCCCCGCCCCCCCCCCTGGTCGCCACCGCCCCCTGCCTTCTCCGTCGTTCGGCCCCAGGGGTCATCGCTGCCGCGCTAAATATCGCGCGACGGTAGAGTGGTCGGATAGGAGCCCCTCCAAACGCACTAGTTCGCAGCATTCCAGAAGCTCTGATCTTTTCTTTCAAACTCATCGGACCCCCATTGGATCCTCAGCGGGCCCCCGCCCCGATCCCCAGGCCCGGGCGCCTGTGGCAGGGGTCAGAATCCCGATCCCAGACCGTCTTGAATGTCTTCGGCGTCTTCGGGGGCCCCCGCGCTCGCTTACGGGTGCCTCGAATGTCCTCGGGGGCCCCCCCGCTCGTTTTCGGGGGCTCGAGGCTGCGCGACTTGCCTGCTAGCTGCCGACGCGGACCCTCCCCCAGCCTGGTTGGGTCGATGTTTGGATTCGTGCCTAGATACCGAACCGTTTGTACTTGGCTCAGTGCGGTGCTGCCGCGGGGACATGTGGCTGTGCGTCCCTATGTGGACGCGGACGCGGTCGCGCTTGACCGCTGCTGTCTGGGGGCCAAAGGACCTCGCGGTCGCCCAGCCAATGAGCCGCCCGTGGCTATCGCCAAGCCACCACGCCGGCTAGCACCCTGCAGGAACCCGAGATTCAGTGACCGCCACGACCGCGAAGTAATTTGGGTTTGCAGCCCACCTGCCAAGACACTCCAGGCCTGGCCTGGCCATGGCGTTTAAGCTGAGCGCGTTGTGCAAGGCGTCGTCGCTCTCAAATCCGCGGTGGAAGCGTCCTTCAATCTAATGGCAGAGCTTCGTCTGGCTACATGGGCCCATATCAGCCCAGAGGCTCCGCGGGAACTTGAGCGCTTGGAAGAAGCCGACGCGCCTCCCGCGCCAGCGCCAGCGCCGGCAGCAGCTGCCGCGCCTGCGCCAACGGGCAAGCCCCGTGCCCGACCGAAGGCGACTGGAGCTCCCAAGCGCGCCGCGGGCGCGCAGGCGGCCGCCGTCGCACCGGCTGCCGGGCAGGCGGCCGGCGCGCCAAACGTTAACTGGTATTCATGATGTCCTGGCTGCCGCGGCAATCGCAGCCATCTGGGTCCACGTCGCATTGAGACCCTAGGGAAGTGCGCCATCCCTCCAGGAGTCGAATCGCCATGGTCTTGTCCAGGATGCGCGCGAGACCCGCCGCGAGACCGAGCGCGCCCAGGCCGCGCTGGGCGGCCAGGCCGACGCCGCTGGTCCGACGAACCGCGCAGCGTTATCCAAGAGCACCGCGCCGGCCAACGCGGTGCCTGCCCCCGCGAGGCCCGAGTGCGGCAGTCTCGAGATCCCGTGGCAGGAATCCTTCGATCGCAGGTGAGTCCGAACACCGGTGGGCCGCCTCCTCCTTGGTGCCGCATCCAGGCCATTCTTCGATCGACGCGGCATCGCGGCCCGAGTGCGAGCCCGAGGCCAGCGCGCCCGCGTGATCGAGCGACCCGGTGCATTCCCACGACGCGCCGTTCATTGCATTGCAGAACAAGTTCGGCGTGAAGGACTGGGAGTCAGCATGCCCGGCCTACTATTGGAGGCAGCGCTCGCAGGCAATTCTCTCATATCCTATGGATGCGCAACGCCATGCAGCGCGCGATTCGGAAGGCAAGCGCGGGTGTTGCCAGACATTTTGGCACTCCCGGATGACGCCGCAGGCGTGGCCCGCAAATCACGCAGGCAAAGAGAGATTGCGCTGTGACGAACTGTAAGAGGGTCGGCCAATTCACTTATAAGCCGAGGTTCCAAAGCCAACGCCGCTGACGCAGGGCAGACCCTGGACTACAAGCCAGGTGAGTTCGTCGAATTCTACCGAGCTCCATCCACCCAAGGTGGGGGCGGTTTGAGTGGTCCAGCCTCATTCAAGATTGCCCAGCAAGACACCGTCACCATCAACTACCGAGGCGCCGAGCAAGTATGCCGCTTCGGATATGTGGGTTGGTGCATGGACTTTGGTAGATGGGTATACGGAGTTTTGAGCCAAACCGCTAATACCACGGTCAGGCATGGATGAACGTAAAACGGTGCAGAGCGAACCAGTCGTCTGATGCCCTTCAACGGTTTGGCCTTGCCGGCGCCGCCGCTGGCAGTATTGTCACCAGTGACACGCGCTCAGTGGCCCTTAGCGTTGAGAACTTCGCCACGAACGTCTTCAATCTCAACAGTGTTGCGGTCATCCAAGTCGGCCGCGGCCACGAGCGTATCGTAAGCGAGGATAGCCGAGACGGTCCACTCCTGGCGTGGTGGCGACCGGGCTATCGCGAAGTGGACACTTTGTGGAGTTTCGAGGATGGCAGACTAAGCTTTGTCGAGTTCCCAGGTCCCGACTGCAGCAAACATGTGTTATCTCCTATTTATAATTGGACGGGCCGCGCTGGCTCCGAGACATGCCGGGGCATCCAGACATGCCGTCGCTGCGGGGGCATCTCGGGCCCGCGCGTGGACGCCTGCCTACGGTGCAGGAGCCGCACAGAAGGCCGCCCAGTAATCACATCAATGGCAAAGAGACGCGCGGGCAAATCATCCAGGTCAGCTGCATCTAGTCGTCCGGCCTGCTCGACCCCAGCCCGATCGCCGACTTTTCAGCCGAGTTGGATTCATTCTCAGCGGAGCCGCCAGAGACCTCCGCCCAGGGGCAGCAGCTGCTAGCGCTTAGACTCCGACGTCGAACAGCGCCTCGCGGAGGACGAGACACTCTTATTAGGGCCTCAACAGGCACACCCGCTCGCGCGCGGCCCGCGTGGCCGCTGCAGCCGCGGCAGCCGCGGCCAGGGACGCCTAGCTGAATGTCAATATGGCTGACGATCCACGTTCTGATGTCTTCTTATGGCGCCGTACTGGTCTGTCCTTTGCCTCGGCGCGCAGCATGCCTCGCGTCGAGCCGTCGCAGTGCCACTGAGGTAATAAGGCCAAGGCGGTGGTTATCGCCATCCCCGACCTGGTGTCGCAGCATCCCGAGGACCAAATCAATGGTCTGCCGCACGCTGACGGCAAGGCCAACACCATGGCCCACCGCCTTCTCGACCTGAGGCCAGCCAGCGCCCCCTCGTCTGCTAGCCCTGCGGCCGCGGGGCACGAGCTGCAGCGCTTTCGTGTGTGCCGCGAACCGATGATGATGGTGATGATGGTGATAATGATGATGCTGATGATGCTGATGATAATGATGCTGCTGCTGATTATGAACATGATGACAATGATGATGTTGAGGCTGCTGATGATGCACATGATGATACTGATGATTGATATGATGCTGATGCTGATAATGATGATGATGCTGATGATGCTGTTGATGATATTGATGATCGTGGTGGTGGTGGTGATGATGAGTATGATGATGATGTTGATAATGAGGATGCTGATGAGGATGATGATGATGATGATGATGATGAGGAGGAGGAGGAGGAGGAGGAAGAGGAGGATGGGGAGGAGGAGGGTGATGCTGGTGGTGGAGTTGGTGATGATCAGGATGCTGCTGCTGCTGCTGATGATGATAATGATGATGATGGTAATGGTGGTGGTAGGGAGACGACTGCGATGATGATTATGAGGAGGAGAAGGAGGAGGATGAGGATCAGGATGAGGATGAGGATCACGACGACGATGATGATGCTGATGACGATGATGCTGATGATGTTCATGATGATGGATGACCATGGTGATGATGGCGGTGGTGGTGGTGCTGACGATGATGACGATGACGATGGCGATGGTGGTGATGATGGTGGTGATGATGACGATGACGATGATGGTGGTGGTGGTGATGACGGTGACGATTGTGGTGGTGGTGATGGTGGTGGTGTAGGTGATGAGGATTAGGATGAGGATGAGGACGAGGATGAGGATGACGATGGTGGCGCTGGTGGTGGTGGTTTAGGTGGTGATGATGATAATGATGACGATGCTGATGATGGTGATGATGATGGTGGTGGTGGTTGGTGGTGATGATGAGAGTGATGATGATGCGGATGCTGATGATGATGCTGCTGATGCTGATGCTTATGATGACGATGATGATGATGGTGATGGTGAATGTGCCAACCCCAACCCCACGCTGTGTTCTTTCCTGCGGGGCGGGGGTGGTGCCAGGCACAAGTTGCACTGGTCTCGAGTGGTGGAAACGGATGTGCCCGTTATATTTTGTGTTTCTTGTGGTGGATTGGCCAGCGTCCGTGCTGGCCGACGCCTCCTAGAAGATTGTGACCCCCCCACGAGGAGCGCCGAGAGGGCTAAGCTCCTCATGGGGCTTTATCCTGGGACTAATTTCAGGCTGGGCCCGTCCTTCCCCCTTTCGTCTCTGCCCCTCTTTCCCCTTCCCCCCTTCCCCCGCCCCCCCCCTTCCCCTGCCCAGGACGGCCCAGGCCCTGTCGTCCCAGGGCCATTGCACTGCGAGGAGGACGAGTCTCCTCTCCTCCCGCCTGTCGGTGCACGAAGTCAGTCAGACGATTCTGACTGACCATCTTCCAGCGCCAGTTGATCATGGATTGACTCGGCGCGCCTTGGTCCTTGAGGCCCTCGAGGAGCAGGGGATCCCGACGGGCATTTGACCGCTGGCGAAGGGAGGCGTTCCGCACTCGCTGGGGCCGCCTGCCCAAGTTGATGAGGACTCCAAGCTCTGCCTCCCCCTGCTTCCTCAAGCTTCTTCCAGCCCCTCCCCCTCTTCATCCTCCTCTTCGCCCGCCCCCTCCTCATCCTCTCCCTCCTCATCTGCTTCCCCCCTCATCCTCTACACCGTAGGCGATGCTTAAGAAAACCTCAGTTTTCGTCCAGAGTCTCGATTATTCTTAACTTTTCAATATAAATCCCAAGATTTTGATAGGAGCTCTGGGTTTGTAATCAGATTATGAGATTACGAATTTCTTAACCCATGATTTCTTAAGCATTTCGCAGGGTGTATTTTTCTTTCCAGTTCTCCCATCCTCTATTCGTCTTCCCAGGTGGACGACGACCCCAGGCTCCACATGGTGGTCTGGTACGAGAGGAGCGAGCAGGAGAGAGTCGCCAAGGCTTCCCTGGGATCCCACCCAACAAAGACGACAGCGAGGCTACGGTAGGTTCATGCGGCGTTGGCGCGCCGGCGACGCCGGCGAAGGCGTTCAAATTTAAATTCTGCGAGGCGGAAGCGCCGAGGGACACGGTAACGCCGATGGACCCGACGGAATTCAACCTTGAACGATCGGGCCCGCGATCGATTCAAGGTTGAACGATCGACGCCGTGACAGACACCTTTGCGCGCGCCGACGCCGCACGAACCTACCGTACCTCTTCCTCTTCCTCCTCCTCAACACAAAGACGACAGTGAGGCTGCCTCCCCCCCAACGAAGACGACAGTGAGGCTGCCCCCTCCCCCCCGACAGAGACGACAGTGGGGCTGCCTCCTCCTCTTCCTCCTCATCCCTCCCGGATCCCCGAGGCTCGAGCCTCTGTCTCTCCTTGCCCTCTGGAGGTCCGCGTGGGCCTTCGGAGACCTCTTCCTGGAGACTTCTGGACGTCCCTGCCTGGTCACCTCCTGGTGCTGTGACTCGCAGGCTTCCGGCCGCCCCCGAGAGGCCCCAGAGGGTGCCCCAGGCCCCAGGAGAGCCAAGGCGAGCCCGAGAGGGGCCCGAGAACCCTCCCCGAGGGGCCCGCAGGAGCCCCCGGGAGAGCCTGGGGCCCAATGCCGCCCCCACGAGTACAGTGGATGGACTTGTTTTCCATCACCACCACCATGAGTTGGAGGGGGGAGGGGGTCCTCCTCCTCCTCCTCCTCCTCCTCCTCCTCCTCCTCCTCCTCCTCCTCCTCCGCGTCCTTCTCCTCCTGGTCTTCGTACTTTCCCTCCTCCTCGTTCTCCACCTCCTTCCCCCTCCAGCTTATGGTGGTGAAGAAGCTGCTGCGTTCAGGGTGCTCCAGGTCCCCCCTTGGGTGTACCTCGCACGAGGGTTTTCAGGGTCGGGTTTTTTGTGATGGTTTCTTTCGACCGCGCCCCCACGAGTACAGCCAAGACGCTGTCGCTGAACTGCGGGCCGCTTCTCGGCAGCGAGCCCGGGGGGGAAGCGAGAGGCGGCGGGCCTTCTCAGAAGGCTCGGAAGTCCTCTGGCCTTCTGCGAGGTTTCCTGAGCCTTCGCCGAATATCGGCGTCACCCCAACATACTCACACCATATGTGCGTCGCCCCTTGCGCTGCGCGCACCGAGAACTCTTATAGTGTATGCGTCGTAGCGGGCGCTTTCTGGCCACACCGCTCGGGAAACGATGTACTGCAAGATGGATATACTATATGTTCGGGTCGGACGCGCGCCTCCAAGGAGGCCACACAGTACTAGTAGGTCCTTACGCCTCCCATCTCAGAAGGCGGAGGGGTTTCCGAGAGGCACCGCCGTTTTGATCGTCGAGCGCGTTCCACTACTCGCAAAGTGCCTACTTGCAAACGCCGAAAAACTATACGTCTGCCTTGGTATAGTTTATCGTACTTTCCCGGCGGCAGATCCTGTCCATTTGCGAGTAGCGACTCTGCGAGTAGTGGAACGCGCTTGTCGATCTGAGGAGGCCTCCGCCTCACCTCCCCCTCTGGGGGTATGCTGGAGGTTTCTGGGATCATCCTGGAACGGAGGCGCGAACTGTTACCTTTAGTTCCCCTTCGTGGGGCCCTCTTGGGGCCGTCTTGGGGCCGTCTTGAGGCCGTCTTGGGCTGTCCGGGAGCTCTCTTGGGGGGCCTCTCGCCCGCCGCCGAGCCCAAGAATCGCAGGAGGGGCTCTCCGGTGTTCGGGCCGTCTCCGGAGGTCCGCGGAGGAGGCTCGCCGTGGCCGGGAGGAACCACTCTGCTTCATTTGTCTGATCGGGTCGGGCGAAAGGGGGGGATTGGGAAAGGGGGGGGGTACGAAATTTGCTGCATGCAGCTGGTTTCGGCCTCACCGAGGGGCCCATTCCTCGATACATAGCCGCCTCCGGCGCCGGGAGGCGCCGGGAAAATCAGCTACGTGAGCTGATTCTCAAACCCCCCCTTTGCTATCCCCCCCTTTCGCCCGACCCGATCTGACCTCTTGATGTCGGTATCGTTTAACCAATCCTCGGCAACTGGAGCATATCCATGATCAGTGGCGTTTGTTTCCTCAGTCCCTCGACTTTTTGAGGGTCGGGGACGACGTCGGGGTGGTGTGGTGTGTACTTCTCCCTTGTTTTCCAAGGGAAACAACGAGACGTGTATACACCAGGATTCCGTATACACCAGGATTCGCGTTCCTGTGCGAATTTCAGCGCAGGGTCGGAAAAAGCAGCGGTGTATAGAGCTCGTTTCCCTAAATCCCCATCCCCATCCCCATCCCCTTCGAGACCCCCACCAGATTGCCGCCCCAGCTGGGGATTCACTCCTCGAAATCCAAAGGGAACGACCGACATCCCCATCTAGGGGGGTTAAATCGGCCAGCGGGGCCCAGGCCACGCCGCTGGAGATGGGGATCGGTTAAACGATACTCATTCCTGATGGTGGCACTAAGTCGGGCATGTCCCTCTACAGGAGCAGTGTTCAAGAGTAGTCAAAAATAGTCAGGGGACGATGTTTCGACTGCGTTTTTTTGTTTGTAACAATTTCTTCCAGAATCCGTCTGTAGGAGGACATGCCCGACCTAATGGTAGCACGGTGGCTGGAGCCCAAGATGGCACGAGGACCCGTTGGAAAGCCGGCCGAGATCAGCCCTTGGAGGCCGTCGAGGTGTGGGCCGAGCAGCTCTCGCTGCTCCACAAGGAGATCGTGGAGAAGGCGGGCAAGGGCAAGGGCATGGGCAAGGCCGGAGGGGCGCCAACCTGTTCAATTGGGCCGATGCTGGCCTGCACTGGCTTCCGGGCCCATGGCGGGGGGCTGCGCCCCACTAGATCTCCGACGATCCTTTCTCGTTGCGAAAGTTGTCCATCTTGAGCATGAGCGACCGTGGCACTTTCAGGTTCGACTTTCGCTCTCCGATTGTGAAAGGACGGCGAAGGAGTCGCTCCTGGGCGATCTCTCACGGCTTCTTCGGGCAGACGTGTCCTGGTCGCCAAGATGAAGATGCAAATTTTCGCAATGGGGACGTGTGCTTTTTTCCAGCAATCCTGTGGTGTTGGGTCTTCGTTTTGAAGAGACGGTCCCCGCGTTCCCCGCGTTCCTTCCTTCCTTCCTCCTCTCCTCCCTCCTCCCTCCTCCCGTCAACCCCCTCACTTTGGCACACCCCTCACACGTTTCGTGGCCCCACAGGGAGCTCCACCGAAGGCCCCAGAGCCACCGCCCGCATGCGTCACGCACACCCACTTCGGCACACCCCTCACACGTTTCGTGGCCCCACAGGGAGCTCCACCGAAGGCCCCAGTGCCACCGCCCGCATGCGTCACGCACATCCATCTCGGCACACCCCTCACACGTTTCGTGGCCCCACAGGGAGCTCCACCGAAGGCCCCAGAGCCACCGCCCGCGTGCGTCACGCACATCCATCTCGGCACACCCCTCACACGTTTCGTGGCCCCACAGGGAGCTCCACCGAAGGCCCCAGAGCCACCGCCCGCATGCGTCACGCACACCCACTTCGGCACACCCCTCACACGTTTCGTGGCCCCACAGGGAGCTCCACCGAAGGCCCCAGTGCCACCGCCCGCATGCGTCACGCACATCCA